CTTTTTTTTACTGTACACACAATTTTTTGTAAATATATTTTTTTATATTATCATAAAACATACAAAAACATAATTTTTATATAGAAAAGGCATAGAAAAACTAAATAAAATAAAACGATGTACATAAGTAATACATTTTAAATACAAAAAAACAACTAAAAATTTTTTAACAAGATTTTTAACAAAAATTTTTAACAATTGTACTGAGGCGGTGCAATTAAACAAACAATTTTCTCTGGATCATACCAAATAATATAATCCGTCTCTGGCCATCTTCAATGATATCATATTTTTTTACATGGCTTTGATTTTGAATTTATCTTCTGTTATTTCTTTTACACTCCTGAAAAATGTTTTTTTCAAAACCAAAAAAACAACATTTTTGTTGTAACATATCATTTTCTTTTTATTTGCTCCATCTATCTCTTCTCTTTGTGTTTCTTCATTTTCAATGTTTCGGTTTAATTTTACAGCTTTTGAAGTTTTAATTTTTTCTGTTCTGTTGCCATCAGATACTGCATTTTTCTTCGTAATGTAAGGTGCTTTTTTCTTTTTCTTCAAGCTTTTGTTTTTTACTTGCTTCCTTTTAATTTTTTTCAGCAATCGTTACTACAGGTGTTAATTTTTTTGTAGCGTTTCTTTGAGATATTTTTTGGGAAAATATGCATTTTTAAATGGCATTGACAATTTTGGAGGAGTGACAAAATAGGATTCAGCAGAATATATGGGAAATTGATTTTCAAAATAGGTTCGGAAATCATGAACTATTTTGCGCCATATAGCTATGACAGGTCGGAATATAGCAACATCAAGCGGCTGGTTGTTATGTATGGAATTTGAAACCAGAACTACCAAAACCATTCCATTTTCACGATAAAACTCGCTCACTGCCAGAGATATACGGCTAACATTGTAACGACTATTTTGCTTACCACAGGGTAAGAATATGGGGGACAAGATTGGGCAAACAAAATAATCGAAACAAGTGCATACGACACTCAGTTGGTTGTTGGAGAGCTGGGTCGTGGATAAGTTGAAGATATTGGGGGTTAGATTGGGGCAACTACAAAAAAAGAAATAAAGGGGTACTTATACAATTCTCTTGGGACAAACAGAATGAAAATAAACGGAAACACCTCAAGAAATTTAATATAGGGCGCCACTTGAGGTGCCTAATTATACCTATTACAACCACTAGTTGTAACTAGGGAAATAATTATGGAACATCAAAAATATAGAAAAAAAAAATATCTTTTTCAAATAAAACTCAAAATAGATCAGAGAAACAAATTGAACGTTTATTCTTGTCTCAAACAAAACAAATCAAAAATACATATTATAAAAGAAACATATCATATAACATATTACAAATAACAAAAACTTACATGTTCTTTGTTTACTATATTATGGCCAATTAGATTATCAAAAATTAAGGATCCTTCTTAATGAAACATATAAATTTAACCTTATATTATGAAATATCGTTTCTACATAATAATCAAATTAAAATTGTCATAACAAAAAAAAAACAAATTAAGCTTGCTGTCAGGTATCACATTTAATTTTGATGACAAAGAATGAAAAGCAATTATTACTTTAGCCAAAAAAATATCTGTCTTTACTTTGAAAAATTAATATATTGAATTGTTACCTTAATGTTTTTTTTTATACAAACACTTTGAAACTTTACATCTCTGGGGAAGCTACTCGGACAAAACTTTCAAAACTGGATGGCAGCAACCATTAGGAACTAGTTCTACACTCCAGGACAAAACGATTGGAACAGGTACTTGGTGGAAGAATCGAGCCGACTACGGGGACATCCTATATCATACTTCTTAGAAGCTTCCGGTATTTATTCAAATCTGATAGTATTATCATTGACCGGTCCTAAGACATTTCAAAAGAAATTGAATCCTCTTTGATTCAAAAATGGCCCAACATTTCACATCCGCAAAAAGCGTCTACCACCGTTTCAAATAGGTTCTTGGACTCACATTGTAGCACGTCTGCTCTGCTTCAAATCTAGTCGTCGACTCTGTTGTCACATGTCTGCCCTGTTTGAAATCTCTCAGTCGACCTATCTCGACTCTTTTGCTTCGTTACATTTTACCAGAATCTAGCCAAAAATTTCCCTTCCGTCTTGCAGCCTGTCGCCGACCCACTTAAAAACCAAAACAAATCTTCCCTCTTCTTATCGACAAAAAAAAACAACTTTTAAATGTTCCTTTATTGCCTAAACAAACAAATATTCTTTTTTTGACCCTCGTCTAATAACGAAAACAACTTTAATATTAGGGGGACCTATGTTTATTGCGTTTTTAAACGAAGAAAACAAATAAAACCTTTTTTTTATCAGGGGGCATCATAAATTTACATAATACAAATTAACAAAATACGTGCGTATTTTAAACTTGAGTGTTACCTGACTTGTAACAAAAGGTTCGATATTTGAATCTAAACACAGACAAAAACATCTATATTTACTTTTGAATCGGTAGAAATATACGCATTTAAAAATCTCGTCAAAAAAAACTTGAAATATTATTTCGATTGTTTTTTTTGGTAAAAACAACAGGAGCGTAACACAGAAATCTTTTCTATACACTTTAAATAAAAAAACGCTACATGTTCATCCAAAAATAACACAACAGGTCGCTTAATGTTTTTTTCATTCAACCATTTATTAAAATAGTTTGCAACATACTCAACTAAAATGTTTCTGTATTCATTCATCCACTTTCATTGTACCCGATACCCCAACCTATTGGCATAGTTAGAACTAAATATTTTGGTAGCCTTTTATTAGCAAAAACAAAACCATTGGTGGTTGGATATCTCCACTAGCAGATATTGTTGCTAATACGATCCGGCATTCTTTTTCGTCGCTAGCAGTTCTGTTATATACAGTTGTAGACCCTCTTTTAATTAACACTTCTTTGTCCTGTGTAACCATGAAAAAGGAAACGTGTAACGAAGGAACGGCTAGCTGTCAAATTTGTGATACACAAGGTGTTATCTCCGGATGCCGAGTTAGGAAATTGATGGTAAATACCATCTATTTCAACAAGTTCCATTCTTAAATGGATTGGCTCATGTTAGATTTTTAATGAGCACTGCTACGGTGTTGCTGATCGCATGTCACGGGAAAACCCGCGACATTCAATAACTATCTATTTTATAATTAGTTTTTCCTCATCATTAGTTAAAAAGGGTCGATCCAGTAACTCTTGTGGATATTTTTTTTTGCATTGGCTTAGGCTTTTTAGTTCTGACCGGGATTCTAGAAAAAAATCAAATGTGAATAATTGAATCTTTTTTTGTAGATACCATGTCAGGCTAAATTTGGGTTAGGCTGAAATTAGAGCACATACGAAATATAATAAAATCTAATAACACCCAGAATAAAATCAAATTATTTTCATTTTTTTTTGTAATTCATTAATTGTCCAACTATATATTTTAACTTGAGTAAGTTACAAAAAAATATTTTTTTGAGAACAACTTTTTGATATTAAAGAACAAAAAGTTGAATTGAAAAAAAAAATCACCAACATTCGTAATTACGGCCTTAATCTATTTTTGTAGAGAAAAATTACAGTAATTGTTTTTCCAACAATTGCTTAAACAATTTACAAGGATAATTTAACATTAAATTTATTCACAAACGACATATTCATAATTTACACAGAACACATACAAATTATAAAAAGACATGTCAAAATCCATCAACGAAAACCAAAGATATAGTTTATAGCTCAACTTTAATTTTTGGATATCGCCAATTTAAGAAAAAGGAAACTTTTTCTCAGATCAGAAAAGTCATTATTTGGGGGTTTTTTGAGTTGCTGAACACAAATATTAAGAGACATCAACTCCTGAAGTTTTTTCGTTAATTTGTTATTTTTAAGATTTTTATGAAAGTGTGATATCAAATAAGAGTTGTTAAAATATGATTTCTTAAATATAAATACAATTTTTCTATTATAACAAGATAATTAACAAATATTCGTATCATTAAAGTTTATTTCTTCCTCATCTTCTTCCATATCAGATAATAGGTCCACAAAAGAGATGGCCCATAAGATGTCTCAAAAATGAGTAACTCTTCTGAGTTTCAAATGTATCTACATAAAAATAATATTAAGGAAGTAATGATTGAAAAAAATAATAAAAAATGGCAATTATTAATGAATTATGTAAACATTGTAGTGAAGATAATGAGCTTAAAATATTTTTTTATAATCAAGAATCTCAATTAGCGTTCACTCTAAGTGAGAGCGAACACCAAAGTGGCATGGCACGTGGCAAGTAGCACTCATCTAGCATGTTTCTTAAAATGTAACCAATGAAAACGAATGATTCAACCTACACCAAAATGACAGTGACGTCATTTATTCTAATCATTCGTTTTCATTGGTTACATTTTAAGAAACATGCTAGATGCGTGCTACTTGCTATGTGCTACTTGCCACGCCACTTTGGTGGGCGCTCGCCCTAAATTTATCATTAAGAGACTTGATTAAATTATGTTTATAAACAAATAATTGTTTTTGATATAAAGTTGTCAAAGAATGAGACTTTGTTAGTTATGAATTTGTATTTGTCAGAATTCACAACAAAAATTTAACAGTATGAAAAAAAGGTAATAAAAATTTAAGAGCAATAAAATACTAGATAAACATGTGCTTAAAAGTCACATGTGGATTGGATTGGACAGAAAAAAAAGACACAATCAGTTTTGTGTAGGTACTATCTTTTATTTAAAAATACATTAAGCTCTCTCATTTTGTAAAATTTTGATTTTTTTAATTGGATAAGAGAAATTGGCATACACTTATTGTTTTACAGAATAAGCAATATTATTTGGTGTAAATAAATAGCTGAATTATATCCTTGCTATTTTATTTGAACTCGAGTATATTAAGTTCTTAGAAAATTCTCTAAACAGTTTTTTACCACACTAGAGATTATTGCACATCAATTAAATTTACACAATTAAAAGATTTCATATGATTGTAATTAATAATATATTACAAATACTATTTTTCAAAAAATCTAAAATTATAACAAATTTTTGCACATTTGGTATTTGAAATTAAATCAATTATTTTGTTCACCAATTAACAACTTTTAAGCATCCATTTAAGTCTAGTCATCACCTATTCTAGATCTTTTGTAAAATGGCCTCTTCAATATTAAAAATTTTAAATCAAATGTAAAATTAAAACTTCCTTATTTTTGATAACTGATTATTTCGCTTCATTGCCATTTTTCTTATATATCTCCAATATTGTTTAGATTCAGGGTCCAATTCTTCTAAAGTTGGAGGAGGCCCTAACCTTACATTCCATAACCAATCTGGATATTCTTTATCTTCTTTTAAAATAGCATCTTCTCCAGTTTTATATATGTTACTACCACAAGCATATTTAACTAATTTTTCAGGATCAGTTTCTACAGGTAAAACTTTCTTTTCCATTACAGGTCCTAACTTACCAAGTTTCTTTTTCTTTAGTGCTCCTCCTATCATGCTAACACCTACAAAAAATTTAATGAAGCAATAAAGTACCAAATATTGCAAATTAAAATCAAGCTTAACATATAACATCCTAAGTAAATAAAAAGGTTAATAATCGCTCAAAAAAGTACTCACTAGCACTGTCCTTCTTTGCATAGGTATTTTTTGGAATATAAGATGTAAACTTTGATATCATACATCTTACGTTAAAAAGGGTATAAACACTGGAATAATTCATTTAAATAATTTTAATGCAATACAGTTTCTAAATTTGATATTATTAATAAGATATACCTAAAAAATCAGTTTTTCTGTAACAGATTTTGTGAGGTTATGTTTATATTATTATTGTAATGAAATGACTTCTTCTTCTGTTATTCTTCAAGTCCATCTTTTATCGAAGTTTGGAAACCGTACTAGTGTCTAGAGCCCGACCATCGAGCAAAAAGACAATAGAGGGAATTTAAAGGTAGTGGGGGCAAACATATTATTAGACAGGAAGTGCGATCTTTAGAGGCCACATTAAACAAGGAAAGAGAGTCTCTCTCCTTGTTTGACATCAATGACGTATAATATATAGACTCGGTGAACGCTTTAAAAAGTGTCCAAAACATGAATACCTTTGTTATTGTTTATTGTTTTGATACGAAGATGCACGAAGTTCATGATTTCTTACGAAGCATCACGAAGTTGATCTTGTGTTTAAAACATCATGGACGTATGAAAACATTTTCTCCATTTTGTGTGACAAGCAAATTTTATTTTAAATTTCTGAGAGTTATTTACTTACTATTTTAGTAAAATGCCATACTATTTTATCAAAATAATTATTTCTCTTATAGACTTGACAAAAAGAAATCATAAATATTTAATTTTAATTAAAAAAATAATTATTGTCATTAACATATAAATGAGCACGCCGCTGTTGTGATAAACATACCTTCAACCTTGAGCCGAGATCTTTCGGACACTTGATTCTATAGCGAGAATAGGGGACTGCGTAGTCTATATATTATACGTCATTGTTTGTCCCAAATGTCACATGAAATTTTATTTATATTGAAGTTTTTTAACAATTGTGTCGCATTTTAGACTCTTATCACTAATAATTAATTAAAACTTTTTCGTCTAAGACACATTCTGAAAAATGTTATATAGCTACTGTTGATAAGTGTCTGAAAATTTAAATTTCGCGCATTCGCATTTCCGGATATGTCCGCCATCAGAGGCCACTTTTTTGGTCTCCTTTTCATAAGGATTAGATTCCCTCTATTGTCTTATTGCTCGATGAGCCCGACCCACTATTCTGTGCAGACTTGCGTGCGCAGTTCATTTGTATCCACATCTGAATGTGACAATGAGGTTTATGCGTATTGTTGGTTGCATAAGAATAACTCAAAATAAGTCAAAATTAAAGGTTTTTTAAAATAGTTTTAAAAAGTATTTTAAAAACTACTTTTTGCGCATTTTTTCCAATAAAAATTTGTTATTTTATATACAGGATCTTGACTGATGTTATATATCAATTACTATGATACCAACTTTCTTATTTTAAATGAAACATTGGTTAGGTGTATTATAAGTTTTTTGGATCATGCACAAAATTCCCAGAACTTTGATATATTGCATGTTATAGTTTTAATTAACTTATTTTAGGATACAGGGTGGTTAATGAATAGATCACTCTCTGCGTGTCTCCTTATGACTTTAAAAGGTTCTATATACTCGGTTCGCTATTCCCAGTCTAGTGTCTAGTGAATTTAGTAATTATTTTTTGCGAAGTTAGTTCCTTTTTGACAGACTAAAAGTGGCTGGAAATTACTCTACAACCAAGCACACGTATTCATTAGGCAATAATAATAGTAAACAAACTAAATAGTAAATAAAATAGAACTTTGCGAATTACCGACAATCAATATTTATTTATCTGCACTATATAATAAATATTTATGTTAAATTATAACAACTAAAATATATTTTTTAAATATATACTACCCAAAATTTTATGGGTTTAGTATACACTTCCACTATTTAGAATAATTCTTATTTTTTTTTTCAAAGAAAGAAGTCTGCAATAGTAGTATACTTGAGCTATTAATACTGAGAAGTAGGAATTGTTGTGTTGTAGGTTTCCGACAATGAATCTGTCAAAATATGCCCGAGCTAAGCGAATGGAGTATACCTAATTTCAATAAAGAAGAGTGAGTTCATTTTCGTATCTCAACTAGTTTTTAATAAAGTATATAGTACTCATATAGGTACATCATATATGTACCTATAATATATTCTTTTAAAATATTGTATTCACTTTAAAATTCAAAATAATAAAGTACAAAAAGTGTCAACACCGCAACTGTCAACTAAGTGTTGCCAATTTATGCCAAAATTTCACCTTCGTTCGATTACAGTTACAGTATGTTCCGAACAAATGTTCTTCATAAAAACGCTTTATAATGCATTTATACAAATTAAATGAAACATAAATAAACACCTATCGCCTAAATGTTTCGTGTTGGTATCATGTGACGTCAAGGGCTATGACGCCGATGACGTACATCGGTATGTAAATTAGATGAAGTGTATTTACCTATGAAGCAATATTCCTGGTATTTTTACGCACAATTCACCATTTTGTTAAGTAAAAAAAAATCGGTGTTTAATTCACTTTTTTAAAAAACCACAAAAACAAAACTGGTGTCACATCCATTGTTTGCCAATAAAAACATGACCATGGCCGACACATCGAAAAGTGGCTTCACTTTTTGAAAGTTGGTTGAACGAGCGGTCGAAGATCCTTGACGATAGAAACAGTTGTCCATACCTCTGGTTGTCATTCATCATTCCTGTCATCATCTGTCATTTCTTGTTGTTTCATGGTAAAAAATGGCGGATAATGGCGGTGGCTTTTAAAAATAAGACAAATGGAAATTACATAAAAAAGACCGGTGTCCAGAGAATAAAAATTGATAAAAATCATTGTACAATCATCAGTAAGTGAAGCAGACTTTATTGATATAAGTTTTATCTCCGGAGACATCGTTCCGTCGTAGTGTACCTACTCCTTTATTCAGTTTATATGTCAGCTATGGAATTTAAAGTTGAAATTAAGGAAGAGGTTGTTGGATATAACCAAAAAGATATAGAGAGTCAGTTGTCCACATCAATAGATCTGGAACACTTCAAAAATGAATCAGAAGATAACCCAGGTAAGACAAGTAGTAAAAATTAATGCTAAATAATGTGATCCTAATTGTTATTTATTAGAAATGGTACTAAAAGCTAGAATTAAGGAAGAGTTTGCTGAAGGTAGTCAAGAATATATAAAGAGCGAACTATCTACATCCCCAAATTTTGAAGACTTTATTAACCTTCCGCAGATAACGTGAAACATTTTAAAATTTTTGATAACGTCGGTCTAACAAACCGACTTTTTCTAAAATTAAAAAAAAATAGAAATTTAGCTGTAGGTGATAAATATTTGTAATAATATAATTGTGTATATTATTCTCTATACAAATATATAAAATTTATAATTTTTTTGTTATTTTAATAATTTTAAGGAGATATTAAAAAAAAGTGTCATTTTTTATGAACAGTCTTTTAATAAAATCAAAATAATTATAACAAAAAAAAAATAAATTCTGGTTTCACTAAAACATAAATCAGTTACTTGTATGTTAATAAACAGAGAAAATAAAATTTTACTCTCAAAATTTTCACAGATCACTGAAACTATTCCAAATTTTGGGCACCATAATTTTCAAAACAATGCCTGGATATTTTCGCCACCTTGTAGTTCCATCTTTACCGATAAGGCAGGTATTCTTGAAGTACAAGCGGTTTCTTCAAGAATAGGTAAGTTTTGTTGATTTTCAAACTCCTCTTCAGAGTATATATCCTCAATAGTTTCTATAATATGGTCGTCTATCAAACTCACATCATCATCATCTGGTTCTGCCTCTGAATCATTTAAAACTTCCCCATGAAGCCGCAACAGCCATTCTTGTTCCCTCTCGTAATTCATTAGAAACGTATGCCCTAAAATATAATATAAATCAATACCGCAAACAAAAAATCAAAAAAATTAGTCTTACCTCAAAATGTAACGGCAACTATAACGTCGGTTTGTGGGACCGAATCGTGTATAATACTGAAAATTCTTATTAAACGATACACGCTGTCCACTTGCTAAACTATAACTGAATAGATACAAGCACGTTCGAAAGGTACTATGAGGTGCAGATTGAAATAAAAATTAGCAGCGCTTAAACCGCGAAAATTTAAATCAGTCGGTGCGAGAGACATAACGTTATCAGCCGAAGGTTAATGAATCCCATGAAGGTAACTCAGGTGAGTGAAGCAATATGGTAATATATAAAAAAAATGAGTTAACTGTGGGTTTAGGGCAATGAACATATGTAGGGAGAACTTTTAGTTTTCATTTAATCAAAATAGATCATTTAGACAATTTTCACATTTGGTCCCATTGAAGAAAGCTTCAAATGGGTTTGACAGAATGAAATATTGGTGTCCTTTTGCAGTGTTGAAATTTACATTACAAACGAAACATACGCAATTAAAAGCAATAAGATATTTAAAAACTAATATTTAATGATTATTAAAAAAAGAAAAAGCAAATACTTCTAAAATAGTTTTTAACAGTAAATAGTAAAATGTCAGTATAAATAATAAAATTTAAAAGGCATCTGTTGCAATCTGGCAGCTGGTGGTTTGAGGTTTCTGACTCTATTGCCAAATCTATCTGTTAAACTACCAAACAGCAATTGCCAAAAAAATTTATGATAATTTATTACAACTAATATCAAACGAAACAAATATGACTTCATTAATATTTTATAAGGTATAAAATTGCAGAATCCATAAAATAATATGATAAAAATACAAATATCTCTTTGTATTTGAAGCATATAACATATACATTATAATAACATGGCAACACTGCCAACGCAATATTTCGTTCTGTGAAACTTAATTGACAGCTAATTTGAGGCTATCTTCAATGGGACCAAATGTGAAAAATCCTCAGGATCCGTATTCTGTAACTCGTGAGAGTGCTCGTGCACGACAACTCATCGATGTGAGGACTCTCTCGGTCATCGCTCACATGGTGCTAAAAAACCCTATTCACTAAGATTCAGCGAGTCTACTACATTTTACCCAGCGTTGCCAAAGCGAACGAGTAACTTTGACCTATTATTTAGTTCAAATGTACCTACTGTAGGCCTAGCCACAACCATTTTCACGATAAAACGAAATGAAGAAGCAAAGTTTTTGCTGTTAGGTTAGTTGTATCTGATTTTATCACTTGTTTTGTCAATTCTCGTTCTCGTTATTTATAAACTATTATATTATTATACTTTTAACTTTTAAGAACTTTGAGTTATATTAAGCGTCTATATTCTTTGGTTATATATTAGTTATATATTTTTAGTTATATTTTATACTTTTAAGAACTTTTAGTTATATTAGTTATATTTGTTCTTTGGCGAACTTGTAAAAATGGCGTTAGTTCATCGCAAAGATATATATAAAGCTGTCTTTATTGAGACGGAATTGTTTAATAAAATTCACCTCAGATAACATAAAAAAGGGTCTTCCCGTTGGAAATAGAGACGTGGTATATTATTTTCAGCTTGTTCTTCCGCCTCTTCAACATCGGCGATTAACATTAACATTATTATATCGTCATCATCCATTATGAAAACAATATATAAAAACCAAATACAAATAGGAGTCAACAACCTTTTTAAAATTTCAATAACCTTTCATATAAACTGTACCTATTGTATACAATATTCTTCGTTTTATTGGCCTTCTGTCACTTATAATTTCTACGGCGCATGTCCACTCTCTTAAAATTTCGCAATTCTCTTAGTTTTACCCAGTAGAGTAGGAGAGTACTCGCATAGGAGTATATGAGCGTTCTCTTACATTTTCGTGAATACGGATTTTACAATTTCAGGAGAGTGACTTGCGCATTAAAGCAAAATTGTGAGAGAGAACTCCTACACGACCACTCACTTAAGTTAGTGAATAGGGCTCCTGATCATTTTTCCTACACTTTTGCAGCATTTGGCTTTTGAGATATGGTTGACGTTTGCTGCTATATTTTAATTATCTTCTCATTAATGTTGTCCTAAAATAGGTTACAACTTAGTTTGTGTAAAACATATTTTTCACAAATTTTAATTTTTGTTCCATTGTAAGTTTCTGGGAAGTACATGATAATGACTGCAGACACTTAATTTTGCCATATTTTATAAATATTTAATCCTTGGGGAAAACTAATATAATAATTTATTGTAATTTTGGTTATTTTCCCTATTATTATAACATGAACATTGCCTCAAATGAACCTCCATGTAACAAATGGGTTATTAACTTGTTAGGTGTTAGATTGAGTTAAGTAGTATGGGTTATGGGCTTACTTTTGAAGCCGGAGATATACATAAGCAAAATCTCGTATTCTCCTAGTCTCTATTGAGTCGGACGAAAGGAACATTAAAAAAACCAATTTAAAGTCTACAATATATTGAATTTACAATATTTGAAATATTTACTAAAATATATTGAATTGAATTTTATTGAAGTTACAAATACAATCGTTAACACGTCATTCTGTGCGTCGGGAGTCGAGGAGCGAGGGAGTGAAGAGTTGACAGTTGTACTATTATAATTACTCAGGTTAGTACATAGAAATCTGTTACCTTATGTGTATTTAGGCTTTCAACCACGACACGTTTCGGTCCTCTGGAACTCAGTCAGTTGAGGTTCTCCTCCTGTGTTACGAACTTATGAGCTGCCACAATAACCGGACTACACGCGATACTATGCCGGGTGTTGAGCACTCCCCGGAGAATTACCGACTGCCTGTGCGTAAGGGACGCTATCGCGTCCCACCCGATGCCGGCAATACTGCCTGAGCAGGGCAGTCACGGTGCCCAGCTATCACTGACTGCCTCGTACCCGACGCTACCGCGTCGACAGTACCCGGAGCAGGCAATTGATGCCTTGACGGCTTCCGCCGTATCACTACCACCCGATTGACCAAGTTTTCTAGTTTTTATGTCCTGCAAACATTCTTAGTTTTGTTTTGTTATTTCTGCTGTACTATTCCATGTGTTGGAATGTAACATGCGATGGTATGTCACTTCGTTGTATTACTTTTCATGAAGGTCTTCGGATTTCGTAATTCTTAAACATTCGTGCTTGTATCAAACTAGGTCAAATTGTTAAACTTTGTATAATTTAAATGTATAAGTTAACTGTATTAATTATCCCTTATTTAATTCGGAATATATAATAATTATCTCGAATAATTATTATCTTTTCTATGATACTTAGCCCTTTATTCCAACTCCCCACTCACTTGCTACGCTCACATTACAAGTTTAAGGTTTTCAGTACAAATAACATCAGACCTAACAGGCCAAGCTTTTTCCTGTCCAGTTTTGCTAGGTTTAGGTATATATACTACCATTATAAACCTCTATGCTATTAGTATGTATCTTGGTCATAAGCTAGCCTGCAGTATCATACATAATTTTTTGTACAGAAACTCATTTCCCTTCTGTAGAGAGGTGGAAAATTCTGTCCAGGTTTTATCCTAATTGATCACCTCTCTAGCCTAGTTTTGAATGTTCTACATAACTGAAGGACAGTGGCAAAAGCTCAATATTTAACCAGGAATTTGAAGTGTTCTACTTCTTAAAATTCTGAACTCTCAATCTCCTCTGCCTCCCCTTTCTCTATAATTTCTTTTATCATTGCATTCCTTATATTTCTGTTCTTTGGAATAATAATAACATTATTGTCTGTGTAGGCGATTATTTGCTCACTTTTTGTTCTTAGGTCTCCTTAATTAAGTTACATGTTAATTTTGGATTTACCAGCATCTTTTCCATTTTGATCCCCTATAGTACCTACTTCCTCCAATTCCTCCATTGTTAGCTCTTTTGACGTTTCGATTGCTACTGTGTCAGCTTCTTGTGTTATCAGCAAAATGATAAGCTGCATGTGATGGTAGGTCAGGTAGATGGCACACCCGTCACTAGAAGGATTTTTAATTAAATCAAACAGTAGTTGTAATAATTAGCAGTCCCAATTTTTTTTCAATTGTATATACATACAAGGAAATACTAGTCTAAATTGTAAAATTTATTATATAATAAAAAAGTTTTAATTAAAAATCTTTTATAAAAGGGATATAATTACAAAGGTCGGCCAGATAGCCAAGTGGGCTCAGCAACCAGTTCTCATTCGCTTCACTGCGAGTGGTTCAGTGGATGTGGGTTCGATTCCCTGCTCTATGTACAGAAAAACAAAAAGGCTAACTAGTTAAGATAAAGGCTTGTGGCTTGGTGATACTCGTACTCCTCCATAGATCCCTACCGGAAGGGCGTACCGCCTAAATACCTGTAAATATATATATAATATATATATATATATATATATATATATATATATATATATATATATATATATATATATATATGTAATATATATATATATATATATATATATATATGTAAATATATATATATATATATACATAATATATATATATTATATTTATATATAATATATATATTATATTTATATATATATATATATATATATATATATATATATATATATATATATATATATATATATTACAAAGACCCCTTCGGGCTACATCACAACTTTTTTGGGATTAAAAAGTCCATCATCAGTGTATTATTAGCAGGTACTATAATTATTAATTATTATTGTCCAAAAGAATAATTGTTGAAATTGGATCAGCTCATTCAGATGTCACACCTGTCACAGTGAAGGAACTAACATTTGTTAAACATGAATAATTTATTCTCTTCTCTCTAAAAACATTAATATCAACCTGCAAATTAGGTTAAAATAGTTGAAAAACATAACTATCTGGGAACACATGAATAAAAAGAACGATTATACAAAGGAAATCACTATATGAATTGAGAAAGCGAGAAGCATTTTTATGATAATGAAAAGAGTATGCATCAGTCGAAACTTGACTTTAAAACTGAAAATATGTCCAATAAAATGTTATATTCATTCAATCCTGCTATATGGCGTGCAGAAGTGGACCATGAATAAGTACTGCCGAGTCCTCGAGCCTTCCGTGTCTTTAGGGCACTCAACGGTTCATTGAGTTTGTCTATGGTAAAAGGTACACTCAGCTTCGGAGTCCCACGACACTCCATGCTAATGGTCGGGTGGAAATAGCTCTCGGGTAACTCAAGCTTCCTGTCCAGTGGCATCTCATACAGAGGGTACAGCTTGAACTGGTTAATTACGATGTTGTACCCCTGACCCCAAACGTCCTCATCCAACTTGTCACACAGTTCTCTCCAATTCCTTTTCTTCTCGGCTCAGATCTTGCTGTTCAGTTCCTTCTTTCGCGCATTGTATACCATTTCCATTCAGCTAGCTTCAGTTACTTCTCCTCTACCTATTGCCCTCGTAGCCTGCCTTCTGATGGCAATGCATTCCTTCCTCTTATTGGCTATCTCTTCGCACCACCAATAAGGCATTTTTCTTTTTTCATCTACCCTGTTTGTGCCATTTCTCATAGTCTCCCTTATTATTGATTCAAGTCCTTCTGCCGATGGCGGTTGGCATCTTCTCCTCTCTATCAACCATCTAGAATACTCATCAAACGCTAGCCAGTCCGTTCTATCTCCATCTCTGCTTCCTGTTTGGTTCGCTGATGACTCCACATTGGTAGTCCTTACTCGATCGAAAAGCCAATGTAGCGGTGTTCTGTAGCTGTGTCTAACGGCAGCACAGTCCAGTCTCTAATTTTTCTCGCCGCATTCTGTGTGGCACAGGTGACATCAATATATAAATGCGAATTTCCCCTCACGAACGTTGGTTCCCGACCATTATTTAAGACAACTATGTCCAGAGTTCCTATCCATTTCATAAGCATTTGTCTACGAACGTCCCTTGTGGGAGAACCCCACTCTTCCGCTTTGGCGTTGAAGTCTCCCAGCACTACACACTCTCTTCACAATAATTGTACCTCATTAATAATCTCATCCAGTCTAGTTTCATAATTCTCCACTGTACAATTCGGTGAAATGTAGCAGCATACCACATTTACTCCCTTCACCCGTATCGTCACAAATCCCTCATGCATATCGTCACAAATCCCTCACACGGAAAAATATTAGTGATCTGCTTTTAACGGTCACTTATTGCCACAGACAGGTAAAACAAATGACACCTCTAAACTGAAATTTTAGTTTTATAATTAAAATCATTTTTTTATGTTTATATAAAACAAAAACGGGAATTGTCTACCCTTAAATCGCTCAGTGTACAACAAAAATTTAATTTTTGTTAAAAAATCTCTTACAGATAATTGTTCTATAACCTGTGGGAGATGCTCTTCCGTTTCTGCCATAACTTTTCTTACATCTATAACGTATACATAATATTTTCTGGTTTATTAGCAATATTCGTATTATGGCAATATCCTTTTCCCCTTTCAATTAGCGTAAATTCTTGTTTGCTGGTGTTAGTCATTCGATTTTTTTTCTTAAAACATAAAATCTTTCGCTGGTATGTCAGTACCTGGCGTTTCTGTTTCAGTTTTATTTATTAATATCTAACTGACCCGCCGAACTTCCGCTAATAAATTGATTCCGGTCGAGGTGTCAATATCGACTTTACTATTTCCAATATCTAATAGTCAATTGGGAGTGACATAGAAAACTTAACGATTTCCTGTCTTATATAAACACACTACATCCAAATATTCAATTTACGATGGAAACAGAGAAAGATCAACAACTAGCGTTCCTAGATGTATTGGTAAATCGAAAGGAAGGCTATTTAGGACATAAAGTGTATCGAAAACCTACACACACAGACATATACCTAAACAGGAACTCAAATCATCATCCAGGCCAAAAACAAGGTATCATCAAAACTCTGGCGGAGAGGGTGAAGAAAATTTGTGAACCACAGCATCTGCAAAGTGAACTTCTTCATATTGAAAAAGAGCTCACCTCTAATGGTTATATCAGAAGAGAAATACATAAAGCGTTGAACAACGTCTTTAGACGAAAGGAAGAAAAAACAGAATGTATAGGCAAAGCGTTCTTGCCCTATGTATCGGGGGTAACGGACAGAATTTGGCGGATACTTAAAAAAGCCAATGTAAAGACCATTTTCAAGCCTACAAAGAAAATCAAGGACTGTTTAAGATCGGTGAAGGACAAACGCGACCCATTAGCAACGGCTGGAGTATACCGAATACCATGCACATGTAGAATGGTATATGTGGGAACCACGAAAATACACACAAACACAAGAATATACGAATATAAAAGCCATTGTCGTTTAGGACATATCAACAAATCTGCCGTTGCCGAACACGCTTTGGGAAGCGGAGAACATCGCATACTCTTTGAAGAACCGCAGATGCTGGATAAAACATCCCAGTACTACCCACGGTTATATCGGTAAGCGGTGAAAATATATAAGCATCTAAATAATTGGATAGGAGTAAAAATTAATAAAATATACCAATATTAAAATCCACATACACCCTTCCCATAAAACACGAAAAAAGAAAAGCAACGAACGACGAAACGCCCCCTCACGCTAAAACCAGTGGAGGGGAGGGAAATAGAAAATATAAATATGGCCTCCGCAGTTCAACGCGGCGTCAGTTTCAGCTTACAAGCGAAGCCGTAACATCTCCAGAAGATGCCAACCCCTAATGTTGGCGAAACGTCAAGAACTAATCTCAGAAGACAACGGCTTAACAGCCTGAACAAACAGTTTAACAAGTTAAACGATGGCCGTGAAACCTAACGCATTTTAAAAGAGAGTTATTGTTAACATGTTACAGAAATCTTTTATTTTGACAAATAATGACATTAAATTTTTTTGTATAATATAAAAATATACTGCAAGTGACTATAAGATCCTATTTGTTATTTAATTTTATATATCTAATCCTGATTCAAAATTAAAATAAGATCATTGAAAAAAGTAAATCGTTGAATTTAATCAAGTTGTTATTTAAAGAATACTGTAATCCATAATACTCATATGCTCCAGTCATCAGAGACAAAAATGCCACTGAACCTCTAAAAATCATACGAACATGCTGAATTTTGCCGACAATATTAATTTTGGTATCCTAAAAAAGGTGCAAAAAAGTTCACCAATTTTACCCCGGGCTTCCCCCTAAAACCCCCCTGGCAGAAGGGTAAAAACAAAAAATCGATCTACCAAGAATCTGTACGCTGTAGAAAAAAATGTTTCAAATAAAAAATGTAGCTCACATCATTTTAAACAAAAATGTTTATTCGCACTTTTTGTGTAGAATAAACCATTTTTTCACAAACACTGTCTCCTACCGACAAAAATCAAGTTGCGTTTTAAAGGTAAAGAGTTCAGCTTTTGTATGCAATGTTTGTATTTTGCCGCAAATAAACTCAGATTTTATAAAGGTGTCAAATAAACAAACGTGGCGCGATTTTTCCATTTTTTATGATTCTCATGAAATCAATACAATCTATCCCTTTCATTGACTGACCACTACAAAGTTACGATTACTAGAGCCTAACCTTTAAATTCTATAGCATAAAATTTGAGTTTTAACTTTTGGCATAAAATGTGAGACATTTCAAATATGCTTAAAAAACGTTGGATTTAAACTTTCTCATAACAAACCATCTAAAACGTTTAGAACTTCATTATTTTGAATTATACTAGTAAGTGTTTCAAAAGAACCAACCTTCAGATCTATAGTACACCCAAAATCGCCTTCTTGGAGCCATTTCCCGTGACGTGCGTTAGTTTATAATGTAAAACATTGAATTCTGCGTTTTTATTTACACCGATTCGGTAAGTTTTCAACTACCGTATACGTTATTCCACAAGACAATCCACGCATGTTGGAGTAGCGAGTCTAATTTTTAAAGAGTGTTGCAAAATTTCTGTTACATAATACCTTCTAAAACATTAGTCGGATACATGAGTGTAACATAATGTTTAGATCCACTACAGTTCATTGTAGAATGAAAATTAATATTGCCCCAACAAAACTTACATGAAGTAATCATGTAACTGTTATTTTTTAAACGATTGTATCATTACTTGATTAATTAACAAAGAACACTGAATTGAGAAATTGATATGCTTGAGCTAAATAAATAACGCACTTCAGTAGACAGACAAATAGTATAAACGGTTTGCCCTCTACGATTTCCCCTCAAAAGAATAGGCGGTGCTTATCGGTACAACAACAATTTTTAAAAAATTATTTTTTACACAAATCTTCTGATAATAACAAACACAACAAAAAAAGCATTATCTAATTTGGTGCAGTCGTTCTGAAGTGATGCCTGTACAAACATTTCGGCCATCATTTTTATTAATATAGATTTATTCTTACTAAACGTTATTTCTATTTGTTTTACCCTGTATGTAGTTTCTACACAATTTTTTTTATAGTTTTTATTTTTATTTTAGGTTTTTCTCAGAACAGAATAGAAATCATGAAAACTGAACTTGCGTGCACTACAGAACAAAAAATAAGTGGAAATACTGAAAAAAGAACATCAAAAAAATCAAAAATTTTAAAATGTAAAATTTGTTTTAAGCAATATAACCATGGAGATTCTTTAAAACTACATATAAAAACGCACTCTGGAGAGCTTTACAAGTGCGAAATTTGTTTTAAGCAATTTTTTTTTAAAAGTAATTTAAAAACACATTTGATGGTGCACACTGGGGAAAAACCTTTCAAGTGTGAAATTTGTTGTAAGCAGTTCAGACATAGAAGTACTTTGTATAAACATACCAAAGTTCACACTGGAGAAAAGCCTTATAAGTGTCAAGTTTGTTTTAAACAATTCAGATATAAAAGTTCTTTGGATGAACATACGAAAGTTCACACTGGAGTAAAGCCTTACAAGTGTGAAATTTGTTTTAAACGGTTTGGTCAAACAAGTGGTTTGAAAACACATTTAAAAGTGCACACTGGAGAAAAACCTTTCAAGTGTAAAATTTGTTTTAAGGTGTTTAGTAAAACGAGTAATTTGAAATCACATTTGAGATCTCACACTGGGGAAAGGCCTTACAAGTGTACAATTTGTTTTAAGCAGTTCGGACATAAAAGTGGTTTGGATGAACATACCAAAGTTCACACTGGAGAAAAGCCTTATAAGTGTGAAATTTGTTTTAAGCATTTCAGACATAAAAGTACTTTGGATGAACATACCAAAGTTCACACTGGAGAAAAGCTTTACAAGTGTGAAATTTGTTTTAAACAGTTCATACGTAAAAGTTCTTTGGGTGGCCATATGAAAGTTCACACTGGAGAAAAACCTTATAAGTGTGAAATTTGTTTTAAGGTGTTTAGTAAAACAAGTAATTTGAAAACACATTTAAGACTGCACACTGGGGAAGCGCCTTATAAGTGTGAAATTTGTTTTAAAGAATTTAATCAAACAAGTAATCTGAAAGCACATTTGAAAGTTCACACTGGAGAAAAAAAATATAAGTGTGAAATTTGTTTTAAGGTGTTTAGTAAAACGGATAATTTGAAAACACATTTGAGACTGCACACTGGGGAAACGCCTTACAAATGTGAAATTTGTTTTAAAAAGTTCAGATATAAAAGTAATTTCGATGAACATACGAAACTGCACACTGGAGAAAAGCCTTACAAGTGTGAAATTTGTTTTAAAGAGTTCAGTGAAATAAGGTATTTGAAAACACATTTGAGAGTGCACACCGGGGAAAAGCCTTACAAGTGTGAAATTTGTTTTAAGCAGTTTAAACATAAACGTTCTTTGGGTGAACATTCAAAAGTTCACACTGGAGAAAAGCCTTATAAGTGTGAAATTTGTTTTAAACAGTTTGGTCAAACAAGTGATTTGAAAACACATTTAAAAATGCACACTGGAGAAAACCAATTCAAGTGTGAAATTTGTTTGAAGGTGTTTAGTAAAATGGCTAATTTAAAATCACATTTGAGTTTGCACACTGGGGACAGGCCTTACAAGTGTAAAATTTGTTTTAAGCATTTCGGACATAAAAGTGCTTTGGATGAACATACCAAAGTTCACACTGGAGAAAAGCCTTATAAGTGTGAAATTTGTTTTAAACAGTTCGTACGTAAAAGTTCTTTGGGTGAACATATGAAAGTTCACAGTGGAGAAAAGCCTTACAAGTGTGAAATTTGTTTGAAGGTGTTTAGTAAAACAAGTAATTTGAAAACACATTTAAGACTGCACACTGGGGAAACGCCGTACAAGTGTGAAGTTTGTTTTAAAGAATTTAATCAAACAAGCAATTTGAATACACATTTGAAAGTTCACACTGAAAAAAAAAAATTACAAGTGTGAAATTTGTTTTAAGGTGTTTAGTAAAATGGATAATTTGAAAAAACATTTGAGACTGCACACAGGGGAAACGCCGTACAAATGTGAAATTTGTTGTAAACAGTTCAGATATAAAAGTTCTTTCGATGAACATACGAAAGTTCACAATGGAGAAAAGTTGTAAGCAGTTTACACAAACAGGTCATTTGAAATTAAAGAATACACACTGGAGAAAAGTGCATACTGGAGATCAACATAACATTGCTATTGTTTTACACAAAGATATGAAATTGCTCACTTTATAAACTTTAATGCAACAAAAATAAATTTTTGGTTATCTATAACTGATATTTTTACGATCTGGAGGAGCTTTTTTTGTAATTTAGAAAATTGTCAAAGTTGTGGTAAAAAGTATTAATTGTAGACTTTAAGTACTGATAAATACACACACACTAGTGATGTAACGAATATTCGCATTCGCGAATATTCGCATATTTTTGCATATTCGCATTCGCAAAATTTGTGCGAATGTTTTGCGAATATTACACAGCTTGCATTTAGCTCGTTCAGTATCGAAAAGTGGTGAAAAATAAGTCCATATTTCACTATAATTTGATTTACTCATAGTAATAAATCGCTAATCACACTTTAACTAGAAATTCACTTGTATTTGTGCACGAGCAGAGCAGGGCAAGTGGAGTGACTTGTGTCCCGTGAAATTTTTATTGGAACTATAACCAGAGAACAAAGTTCTCTGCTATAACTTTCTCTCTATAACAAGTCAAATTTGATTATAACAAGAGAAAATAAGATCGAAAAACGTGCTTTCTACTTTTTTGGCCCGGACGTGACTATAAATAAATACCTTTTTAAACGACCCCTCAATAAACTTAACCGCCTACAATAAACTTCTTTACAATAAATACAACTGTTTCACATCTTTACTTTAGCAAATATGATAGAATGATACTGGACAATTTAAAGCAGTTAAAAATGACAGACTTTTTCCAATTGCCTACACACCTCGCGCAAATGAGACTGCCGGCAGTGCCGGAGACAATTAAAATTACCAAATTAAAAAAAAATCGAATATTCGCATTCGCGAATGTCGGTGGCATATATTCGCATTCGCGAATGTTTAAAAAATGACATTTGTTACATCACTAACACACACACACACACACACACATAATTTTAATACATAAGTAAAATAACGTGGCCGTGAATAATATGTGATATCACTGGTATTAGTTTTAAAGTGTGTGTAATTCATCGAGAAAAAAGACAGAAGAGGGAATCTAATCGTTATGAAAAGGAGACCAAAAAAGTGGCCTCTGATGGCGGACATATCCGGAAATGCGAATGCGCCAAATTTAAATTTTCCGACACTTATTAACAGTAGCTATATAATATTTTTCAGAATGTGTCTTAGACGAGAAAGTTTTAATTAATTATTAACGATAATAGTCTAAAATGAGACACAATTGTTAAAAAACTTCAATATAAATAAGATTTCATGTGACATTTGGGACAAACAATAACATAACCCAACTAAATTTGATGTCAAACAAGGAAAGAGACTCTCTTTCCTTGTTTAATGTGGCCTCTAAAGATCTCACTTCCTGTCTAACAATATTTTTGCCCCCACTACCTTTACATTCCCTCTTTTGTCTTTTTGCTCGATGGTGTAATTTAACAGTTCGAAATTTATTCAGTAAAATCTTTTTATATATTTTTATATGTTAAATACACCGAACAATACGGATTTGCTAAAGCTACTCTCAATAAAGTTTCTTTTTACATAAAAACAGACTTTTGAATTTAGGTCCATCTAGACTACTCATAATTCCACTAGTAGTAAAAAGCTGCATAACTAACTGTAAACTTCAGCCTTTTTTAGTTCTTCAGTGTTCGTAATATTGGAAAGTTCGTAAATGAAGGCAGTAGAGGTACTTCTTCTTCTTCTTACGGTGCCTATCCGTTCCGGATGTTGGCGATCAACATGGCTATCCTAACTTTGCTTGCTGCTATTCTGAATAGTCCGGTTGTCGATGTATTAAACCACTTTTTCAGGTTTTGAAACCAAGATATTCTTCTTCTAAGCATATGACAGTGTACCCCTAAGTAAATTATGGTCAACCCTACAGCAAACCAACATTAAGCATGGTCTTATCAAAGCAGTCCAAAGTCTGTATAATGGAACGACTGCAAAAATTAAAACTGGATCAAGGATATCTAAAGGATTTAAGGTCACGAAAGGACTAAAGCAGGGTTGCTGTATTTCGCCTACCCTTTTCAAAATTTATCTGGAACAAGCACTCAAGCTATGGAAAAGAAAATGATATATATATATATATATATATATATATATATATATATATATATAATATATATATATATATATATATATATATATATATATATATATATATATATATATATTACAAAGACCCCTTCGGGCTACATCACAACTTTTTTGGGATTAAAAAGTCCATCATCAGTGTATTATTAGCAGGTACTATAATTATTAATTATTATTGTCCAAAAGAATAATTGTTGAAATTGGATCAGCTCATTCAGATGTCATACCTGTCACAGTGAAGGAACTAACATTTGTTAAACATGAATAATTTATTCTCTTCTCTCTAAAAACATTAATATCAACCTGCAAATTAGGTTAAAATAGTTAAAAACATAAGTATCTGGGAACACATGAATAAAAAGAACGATTATACAAAGGAAATCACTATACGAATTGAGAAAGCGAGAAGCATTTTTATGATTATGAAAAGAGTATGCATCAGTCGAAACTTGACTTTAAAACTGAAAATATGTCCAATAAAATGTTATATTCATTCAATCCTGCTATATGGCGTGCAGAAGTGGACCATGAATAAGTACTGCCGAGTCCTCGAGCCTTCCGTGTCTTTAGGGCACTCAACGGTTCATTGAGTTTGTCTATGGTAAAAGGTACACTCAGCTTCGGAGTCCCACGACACTCCATGCTAATGGTCGGGTGGAAATAGCTCTCGGGTAACCTCAAGCTTCCTGTCCAGTGGCATCTCATACAGAGGGTACAGCTTGAACTGGTTCATTACGATGTTGTACCCCTGACCCCAAACGTCCTCATCCAACTTGTCACACAGTTCTCTCCAATTCCTTTTCTTCTCGGCTCAGATCTTCCTGTTCAGTTCCTTCTTTCGCGCATTGTATACCATTTCCATTCAGCTAGCTTCAGTTACTTCTCCTCTACCTATTGCCCTCGTAGCCTGCCTTCTGATGGCAATGCATTCCTTCCTCTTATTGGCTATCTCTTCGCACCACCAATAAGGCATTTTTCTTTTTTCATCTACCCTGTTTGTGCCATTTCTCATAGTCTCCCTTATTATTGATTCAAGTCCTTCTGCCGATGGCGGTTGGCATCTTCTCCTCTCTATCAACCATCTAGAATACTCATCAAACGCTAGCCAGTCCGTTCTATCTCCATCTCTGCTTCCTGTTTGGTTCGCTGATGACTCCACATTGGTAGTCCTTACTCGATCGAAAAGCCAATGTAGCGGTGTTCTGTAGCTGTGTCTAACGGCAGCACAGTCCAGTCTCTAATTTTTCTTGCCGCATTCTGTGTGGCACAGGTGACATCAATATATAAATGCGAATTTCCCCTCACGAACGTTGGTTCCCGACCATTATTTAAGACAACTATGTCCAGAGTTCCTATCCATTTCATAAGCATTTGTCTACGAACGTCCCTTGTGGGAGAACCCCACTCCTCCGCTTTGGCGTTGAAGTCTCCCAGCACTACACACTCTCTTCACAATAATTGTACCTCATTAATAATCTCATCCAGTCTAGTTTCATAATTCTCCACTGTACAATTCGGTGAAATGTAGCAGCATACCACATTTACTCCCTTCACCCGTATCGTCACAAATCTCTCATGCATATCGTCACAAATCCCTCACACGGAAAAATATTAGTGATCTGCTTTTAACGGACACTTATTGCCACAGACAGGTAAAACAAATGACACCTCTAAACTGAAATTTTAGTTTTATAATTAAAATCATTTTTTTATGTTTATATAAAACAAAAACGGGAATTGTCTACCCTTAAATCGCTCAGTGTACAACAAAAATTTAATTTTTGTTAAAAAATCTCTTACAGATAATTGTTCTATAACCTGTGGGAGATGCTCTTCCGTTTCTGCCATAACTTTTCTTACATCTATAACGTATACATAATATTTTCTGGTTTATTAGCAATATTCGTATTATGGCAATATCCTTTTCCCCTTTCAATTAGCGTAAATTCTTGTTTGCTGGTGTTAGTCATTCGATTTTTTTTCTTAAAACATAAAATCTTTCGCTGGTATGTCAGTACCTGGCGTTTCTGTTTCAGTTTTATTTATTAATATCTAACTGACCCGCCGAACTTCCGCTAATAAATTGATTCCGGTCGAGGTGTCAATATCGACTTTACTATTTCCAATATCTAATAGTCAATTGGGAGTGACATAGAAAACTTAACGATTTCCTGTCTTATATAAACACACTACATCCAAATATTCAATTTACGATGGAAACAGAGGAAGATCAACAACTAGCGTTCCTAGATGTATTGGTAAATCGAAAGGAAGGCTATTTAGGACATAAAGTGTATCGAAAACCTACACACACAGACATATACCTAAACAGGAACTCAAATCATCATCCAGGCCAAAAACAAGGTATCATCAAAACTCTGGCGGAGAGGGTGAAGAAAATTTGTGAACCACAGCATCTGCAAAGTGAACTTCTTCATATTGAAAAAGAGCTCACCTCTAATGGTTATATCAGAAGAGAAATACATAAAGCGTTGAACAACGTCTTTAGACGAAAGGAAGAAAAAACAGAATGTATAGGCAAAGCGTTCTTGCCCTATGTATCGGGGGTAACGGACAGAATTTGGCGGATACTTAAAAAAGCCAATGTAAAGACCATTTTCAAGCCTACAAAGAAAATCAAGGACTGTTTAAGATCGGTGAAGGACAAACGCGACCCATTAGCAACGGCTGGAGTATACCGAATACCATGCACATGTAGAATGGTATATGTGGGAACCACGAAAATACACACAAACACAAGAATATACGAATATAAAAGCCATTGTCGTTTAGAACATATCAACAAATCTGCCGTTGCCGAACACGCTTTGGGAAGCGGAGAACATCGCATACTCTTTGAAGAACCGCAGATGCTGGATAAAACATCCCAGTACTACCCACGGTTATATCGGTAAGCGGTGAAAATATATAAGCATCTAAATAATTGGATAGAAGGAGTAAAAATTAATAAAACATACCAATATTAAAATCCACAAACACCCTTCCCATAAAACACGAAAAAAGAAAAGCAACGAACGACGAAACGCCCCCTCACGCTAAAACCAGTGGAGGGGAGGGAAATAGAAAATATAAATATGGCCTCCGCAGTTCAACGCGGCGTCAGTTTCAGCTTACAAGCGAAGCCGTAACATCTCCAGAAGATGCCAACCCTAATGTTGGCGAAACGTCAAGAACTAATCTCAGAAGACAACGGCTTAACAGCCTGAACAAACAGTTTAACAAGTTAAACGATGGCCGTGAAACCTAACGCATTTTAAAAGAGAGTTATTGTTAACATGTTACAGAAATCTTTTATTTTGACAAATAATGACATTAAATTTTTTTGTATAATATAAAAATATACTGCAAATGACTATAAGATCCTATTTGTTATTTAATTTTATATATCTAATCCTGATTCAAAATTAAAATAAGATCATTGAAAAAAGTAAATCGTTGAATTTAATCAAGTTGTTATTTAAAGAATACTGTAATCCATAATACTCATATGCTCCAGTCATCAGAGACAAAAATGCCACTGAACTCTAAAAATCATATGAACATGCTGAATTTTGCCGACAATATTAATTTTGGTATCCTAAAAAAGGTGCAAAAAAGTTCACCAATTTTACCCCCGGGCTTCCCCTAAAACCCTCCTGGCAGAAGGGTAAAAACAAAAAATCGATTTACCAAGAATCTGTACGCTGTA